GCATCGGGCGAATGGGAAGAGCACCCATATTTTTACAGACCAATCAGCACTTGGTGGGGAATGTGGTCAGCAGTATGCCGGTCGTCTTTACTTTCCCAGGACAGCCATCCTAGTACCCATTTAAAGGCTGGGTCGACCTGCGAGGCCCCATACCATGATACAAATCCATGCAGCCAGCAGCGGATTTTGATTGCAGTACGTTGGAATTACAGGTCGGACTCGCAACACCTAAGCCACGGACGCCACTTGATAAACATTTAGTTGATGTATAATATTCTTTAAGCCAGTTTTTAGTCTGTAGCTCATACTGTTTACAGCAGTTAGTTTTTGTCAAAGATCTTGCTGTTTATGTCAGTTGTTTAGATTACAGAGCCTTCCTTTTATACTACTTGTTTAGATTATAGATCATGTTGTTTACATCGGCTGTTAAGATAACAGATTAAGTTGTTCAGTACACATGTGTAGGTTTGTTCTTCCTTTGTCCCCTTTAGTTTTTGCATTTAGATATCAACAGCTGTGTGATCTACAAAGTTTATTGTTCTTGATAAATGTTTATTTATTCTGTGACACTGTTCAAGCTAATATTCAGTCTACAGACGATAATGTTAACGGCAGTTGTTTAGATTAAAGGTACTGCTGTTTATGTCAGTGTAGATTCCAGATCATTCTCTTGATACCAGTTGTTTAGATTACAGATCATATTCACGTGTGTAGCTTGTTTTGCCTCTATTTTGTTAGTTTGTGCATTTATACATCATAGTGCAATAGAATAAAGTCAATCACCTTCATGGCTTGCCGAGAGACTGCCTGTGTTTGTGGTGACACAGTAGGTGTTTTTACTGTTTCAGTCTGAAGTAGCTGTTACTGTAACCTCTTCTGTTCCAAGGAGTTGAGATTAAGGTCATGAAATACCTAGGTCTGAAGGAGGTCAGCAGAGACAATGTGGCCGGAAGTAGTTAAATCTTTCAATCCCATAACTTTTCACAGCAGGTGCTTAACTCTTTTGGTCTCGAGGAACACATCATACGTTTATAGATTCCTACCTAGAAGCCCAGTAATTGCAAGATGCGCTAATTATACGTTTCTGTCTGCTACCCCTAGGTCCTCTGATGCTCAGCCCCCTGGGACAGAAGGGGGTGAGGAGAGAAATAACCAGTGTGAAAAATCACAAGTACAAAACTTTCAAAGAAGCAACTGGGAATACCAGATTTCTTTAGTATTCTGTGACCAAAAGAAAAAGTAACAGAACACTTTGTGTGATGCAGTAGATTCATGAGACTGTTTATCACATATGATGCGCTGCCTCGAACCAAAAGAGTTAAACTAATAATTTGAATATAAGAAGGTAATATAACACATGTATGTGCTAGAAGACATCAAGAGCGTTTGATGATCTTTGGAAAGAAAAAGAAATGTTTGTTGAGTTGGTTGGTACCAAAAGAGTAAAGAGATATTTGCTGCTAAGGCAGGATATTTGTCATTATTATTGTTGCCCTCAGGAACAAAAATAAAGAGATTTCCACTTTCAGGAAAAAAATTTCTAGTTTCGGAGACCCAAAAAAAACCTAAAGAAAGGTAATGCCAACTTTCAGAAAGGCAAACAAATTTCACTTTCTTGGCTAAAAAACTGCCAACTTTCATGGGGAAAAATGCCATTTTCAGGAACACAGAAAGCAAACACAAGAAGCTTCAACGTCTGGGCCAACTGATTGTTACAAAGACTATCTTTGAAGATGAATATCATGTTGTCATGAAAGAGATGTGACTGTAGTGGTAGCTAAACTTTAACTGGTGCAGCAAAGGATGTCACTGACTTCTTTTTTAAATAATTATAGATACATGAAGATTACTGGCTTACACAGAACCCTTTCATAATTTGAGGGGATCTCTGTGGCCAAGTGGTCAAGCAGTTTGCCTCACACTCCGAAGCTAGTTGATTCTTTTCACGGCGACACTTTTCAGTTTACAAGTGCAATTTTTACAGAGATCCCTGTGGATCGTCGCCAGAGCTATAGTGTTCATGCTCTCAGCAGGCAGCCAACCAGCCATTCTGTGAACAGAGACCGAGCCATATAGGATAAAACCCTGTTCAATGGAGTCGACCCTCTTGACTTTAACCTTTAACATTTAGCCTTTCATAATTGAGTTCTTAGCTGCTACATCCTCTTTTCAAAAATAAAGATATACGAAGATGTTTGAAGAAACCGCGAAGGAACATGTTGGTTGTATTGTGAGCTTGTGCTTTGCAGATTACTGCTAATTTCTTCTTTTCTATATCCTGGTATGCCTCACAGTGTCAAGGCAGGAAGAGATCTCTGGAACAGGCCCTTCTATTAACTTCACATCTAATACTTTTCAGTGTCTTTGATATTTCTGGGATAAATCTTCTGCATGGTTAACCTCTTGCTCCATTACCGCTGTATCTGTATAACACTGCTGTCTGTGGTGCCCTGTCTTGTGCCAATCTTGTTACATGGCCAAACCATTTGATCTCTTGTCTACTGATAAAGTTCTTCTTCTTCTTCTTCTCCTTCTTCTTCTTCTTCTTCTTCTTCTTCTTCTTCTTTTTCTTCTTCTTCTTCTTCTTCTTCTGCGTTCGACATCAGTCATGCTAAACATTGAGTCCCTTCTGGGTCAAAAATAGGATTGTGCGTTTAAGGTCGCCACTGGTCCCCCATAGCTTCTCTCGCAATGTAGATCCCCTGGGCCAGATCCAGTCTTTGCTGGGAGAGGTAAGGGCAGTACTGCAGTATGTGCTCAGGGGTCTGTCTTTCTGCTCCACAATCACAGGCAGCAGATTCTTTTATGCCTATCCTGTACATGTGTGCTCGAAGTCCACAGTGTCCAGTCGGAAGTCTAAAAATTGATGTTTTTTCTTTCCTGTTGAGTTTGTTTATGCTGTCACTCTCTGGTCTGTAATTTCCATTCTGCCTTCTCCACTCCCACTTGAAAGACTGCTTTAGCGCTGTTTTGGTTTCCTTGTAGATGTGTGGTGGATGAGGTTGTGGAAGATTACTCCCAGCTTTTGCCAACTCATCTGCTCTCTCATTTCCTTGAATACCACAGTGGGCTGGTATCCACTGCAAGACCAGTTCTGCTTCCTTGGAGAGTAAGCCAATGTTGGTCCTTAGATCTGCAATTAGTTTGTCTTGTTTTTTGCTTGATAGTGCTTCGAGAACAGACAATGAGTCGCTAAGTATAACAATTGTGTGCCCTCTGTGTTCTTGAATGATGAGATGTTGGACTGCAGAAAGGAGGGCAGTTGCCTCAGCCCTGAAGTTAGTGCAGATGTCACCTGCTGGTAGAGAGAGAGAGTTTCTGCTCTACTGCTAGGGGGTTTAATGTATATTCCACAACCCCCCTTTCTGACTGCATCTGTAGCAGAGCCGTCGGTGAAAACCTGAGTCCAAGTGGTGTTTGGATACTTCTTATCAAGCATAGCAAGAGCCAGGGTTCTCTGTTGAGTCTCCGTCTCGGCATCTTTTGAAGTGACCCCTGGTACCTTTAGGACTACATTTGCCTTCTCTGGCTTGCTTGTCCATGATAAAGTTCAATATTGGTTCTTTACCAACTCTCCTCCTGATATCATAGTTCCTAAGTTACTTTTTCTTGTTACACCTAGCATTAGTACGTAAACATGTTATTTCTCTCCTTACTATTTGTAAGACAATGTCCATGTTAGCATATGTGTGCTGCCAAATGGCAATGGTTCAACTACATCGCTGTATGAGCCAGTTATTTTGGCAATAAACTGGCAAGGCTGTTTGCTGCTGTTTTGTGTTTCTGGCAGCTAGCCACTGTCTAGAGCAGGGCTGTTCAACAGGGGGGGGAATCATTGCCAAAATGAGATCATTCTACGCTGGCTGGGGCTCTGGCCTCTGACACGTAACGATCTCCATTTTCGAGATTTTGTTCCCTCAGAATAATTTTTTGAACAGCCTTGGTCTAGAGAATTAGGTATTTGGGAAGTCAGGAGTTAACAGCAACAGCTGCCAGATTGTCTACTGTATGCATATGTAGGTGTTTATTGTTGCATACACATCTAGCAAACAGTCCCCCCCCTCCCTCTCTCTTTCTCTTGTATACTCTTTCCCTCTCATATTCGCACCCTACCCCCCATCCCCTTTTTTTTTTCTTACAAAAAAAAAGCAATATCCTTTCCCCTCCCTTTATTTTACTTCTATATATTTGCCACCCTCTATCTCCATTCCTCTCTACCCCCTCCTCTTTCTCTCTCTCTCTCTCTCATTTTCATCTTTCTCATCCCTCCTTTGCTATATGTTCATTCTATTTTTCCTCCCCTGACTCTAACACCTCCCTCTCTCTTTGTCCGACTCTCTATCTCCCTTACCCCAGTCTCCACCCCTCGGTGCTATTTCTGTCACAAGTCACTCTCCTGCTTAATCTTTCTTCAATATTATTCTCATTCTGCGTCTGATGTTGACTCTTTCTCCCTCCGCCCTTTTTCGTCTTTACCCCACTCTCTGTCCCTCCTTTCCTTTCTCTCCCATCACTCTCTCTCTCTCTCTCTCTCTCTCTCTCTCTCTCTCTCTCTCTCTCTCTCTCTCTCTCTCTCTCTCTCTCTCTCTCCAAAGTTTCTTAATGATTTTCATTTCAACCATTATCCTTATGTTTACATACGGCTGAAAATTCATTGAATTGCAAAAACACAAAATGTCTAAAAACATGTAACCTAAATATTTCGAAAGACTAAAACGTGAAGACAGCTTATCGGGACAGGACACAACAGACTTCGCCAATATAAGGGGCCTAAGACTTATTTAAGTGCATAATCATAATGTCTTGAGTTGCAACAAACATATAGTAATATATCAGAAATAATATGAAATGTATCAACGAATACTTAAAAGGAGAACGTCTGTGCATGGTTATATTGTCATATAGCCCCCTCTATAACTTTTCCGAAAGGGTTGGGCTCAAAATGCATGCGTCCCCATTGATATTCTGGTACTCGGAGGTAAAACATCGTGCAACAGAAATCACGATGGACACGAGGGACTCAAACTGGCAAAGAAATACCGGATGCTCACTGCCCCACAGTCTCCCAGCAGTGTATCCACTTTGAGCAGCACAGGCCTCAGGCTGACTTCTAAACACGTACATACTAGATCCCGGGCTCCTGTTATGTCAAAATATTTCAGATTGGACAGCGAAGCAAACGATAACGGCAGACGAGTTATCTTAGTGTTGGCCAGTTTTATCGATTGCAAAAGTGGTAAGTTTTGAACAGCTCCTGCAGAAATTGTACTTAGGGGATTATTATTCAAAGTTAAAAATTGCAATGCTGGAGTTTTCTGGAAAACTTGTGATGGTTAATTCTGTTATATAGTTGTACTGGAAATCTACATCAGTGGCTGATGGAGGAAAGTCGGTTCCTGTTAGAGCCACAATGTTGTTCCAAGGAAGGGTGAACAAATTCAAAGAGTGCAGGTCGGAGAAGATGCGCGGGATGGCGCGAAGCAAGTTGGATGACAAATCGATTTCATTCAAATCTTTTGGAACTGCCCCAGATACCGGGTCGCTGATTTGGTTATTCATTAGCTGCAGTATCTGCAACGAGGTCATGAAGCTTACGTCGGGAATCTTCGTCAGCAGGTTGGCCTGGAAGTCTGCCTGCGTTAAAGAGTCTGCGAAAGGACGAAGGACATTCCCCGCGTGATCTGCGTCAGATATTCTAGCATTCTGAATAATTAACGTGTTTAATTTACTGTAGACTGGAAGCCAAGTTAAATTCGAGATACTGGAAAAGGTGAAGCTTAACATATTTAGGAAATGGAGTTTTAAAACAGCTTTAGGCACGGCTGTTAAGCTAGTATTTGCGATGGTTAATCTCTGCAGGGTATTGGCCATATTGTCAAACGCATCATCGGGGATTGAAGATATAGAGTGTCCGCCAATTATCAGTTCTGTTAACTGTGTATAATTCTGAAGCCACCTAGGCCATGTGGTGAGACTGACATTCTCAAGTGTCAGCGTTTCCATGCGTGAACCAAGCTGACTCATGACAACTGGGTTCCAATCCTTTATTGGCGTATTGGATATGCTAAGTAAGGTCAGATCCGTTAACTGGAGAAATGCGTCGGGAATTTTGGTGAAGCGGGCGTTGGAAAGGACGAGAGACTCCAGGCTTGTGGATAAACGTTGAAAGGCGTCGTCGTCGATGGTGAGTATTGGGTTGTTAGTGAGGGAGATAAAAATGATATCTGTCGGGAGGCTATCGTTTGATATCCTTGTGATGTTGTTATTCTGTGAGGAAGATAATGACGCATGTTGTAATATACTAGCGACATGAATTATCACGAAGTATCAGTCAATCGGCGTCTGTGGCGGAGGCGTTGCGAACGTGCTTCGTAATACTGAGGTTCTTGGTTCGATTTCAGATACGGATGATTTGTCTTGCGTTGATTTCGACAATGGTACCGAGATCTGACCGTTCGATAGGCAGTTGTAAACTACTAAAAGTAAAATGTGCTTAGAAAAAACCCACAACAGTTAAAAAATGCTGGGGTTGGTTCTGCAACGTCCTGTCCAGGATACGCAACTAACTTAACAGTCAGTAAATCAATTGACTACACACCCACGATATAATGAGAAAGAGGAATAGGATAAATTGCGGACATATAATACCAATGGCTTTTGAACACACATTAGTTGCGTATCCTTTACATGACGTTTCAGAACGAAACAAAGGAATTGTTGCCTGTTTATTTTTTTACTAGAGAATTTTACATTCAGTAGTCTGTCTTTGTTTACTGAACTATCGGCTTTCGATACCATTGTCAGAGTCAATGCAAAGCGGTCTGCTGTCAAGTAATCCGCAAGATTGCTAAGTCTTATACTGAGTACAAAAAGCTGCTGTTAAAGTGAGTACAAGTAGTGCTGCTGTCTGTAACAAGCTTTAAGTCGGCGATGACATGGTATGTTATTACTGTAGCCTTCACTGTACATTTGACATTATACATAAGCGCACACATATACACGTATAGACACGCACACATATACACGTATAGACACGCACACATATACACGTATAGACACGCACACATATACACGTATAGACACGCACACATATACACGTATAGACACGCACACATATACACGTATAGACACGCACACATATACACGTATAGACACGCACACATATACACGTATAGACACGCACACATATACACGTATAGACACGCACACATATACACGTATAGACACGCACACATACAACAACTGAGGCACTAGTAGCTGGAAAAGAGAGGGGGGGGGGGCTGATGAAGGCGCTGAATCTGGGTAGCTATGGACGTGTCCGGGGTGCCACAAGGATGGCCTAACTTATGTATCACGAACACATAACACTACATGCACACACACACACACACACACACACACACACACACACACACATAAATATAGAGGTTGTAGCGAAGTAAGGCCCAACTCCACCCATCTATACACAAGGTCACCTTTTATTGATGCTTGGTCAGTCCGGTCCATGTTGCTCAAGATTACAGGGGTGTCATGGTCTACTGCTGTAGATTGCACTCTCTCGTGGGACCTTGGCTCAGTGTGTGTCTGTGTGTGGGTGGTAGGGGGGGGGGAGTTTGGGTTAGGGCCATTTGTACATGTTATGGAGTTATTAAAGGCACTCACATCCTGTAATATAGAGCACGCGTGTTCGCCGGTAGGAGCGTCGACCAAGCTGACGCCCCTGCCACTTCCACTTGTGCGTCTCACAGGTTACGGCTGAGACAGAACGTCCAGTCACATTGTCCTGGCCGTACTCCGTCAATCATAAGTGTGTAGATGGGCGGAGCTGGGCCTGAGTTCGTGTACCATATATAAGGTCTCGTGGAGTTTGAAGCCTTTAACAGTATGTATCAGTTCATGTGCTAACAGCCTTCCGTGCCATGAGAAAAGGTTGCCAAGAAGCGTTTACCGTTGTCTTCCTCTGCCTCTTTTTCCACATTTCTTTCCAATGGTCACAAAATATTCCAGTTTCCTTCTTCGTATAACATCACCAAAAAATTACGACTGCCTCTTTCTGATGTTTTTGATAAGTTGTCTTCTAGCACTAGTCTCTTTCAAAACATCTGGGTGGCTTATTTTGGCTGTCCAAGGAATTCTAAGGATTCTTCTGTAAAACCACATCTTCGAGACCTTATAGCGCTGCTAATTACCTGTGTAAGATGTACAGCCAGATGTTAAAACCGACTCTATACAGCATGAGACAATGCTTTTCTTAACTCCCAATGCTATGTATTTACTGCATACAGTATTCTTCATTTTATAAAATGAAGGTGTTGTTTGCCATATTCTTTTCTTTTATGTACTTTCTAAAAAAGCTAACTTTTGTACTTTTTTTTTTTTCAAGTTTGAATCCTAGGTATGAACAAACTCACGTCTGCCCACAGATATCTGTTGTACGTAGCCTGGGTGGTTGTCAGGGGCGGTAATCTGTCAAGTCCCATGTTGGCGCACAAAATACGAGACTCCTCGCACGGGCACATCTGTGGTTAGAAGTTAACAACACATCAGACATTCACCTACATACCACACACTTATCAAACTTCATAACTTCTTCATATACGCTCACTCATCTAAGTTCATACTTTCTTCATATATACTCACTCATTTAACTTCATACCTCCTTCACGTACACTCACTCATTTAACTTCATACCTCCTTCCCGTACACTCATTCATCTAAGTTCATTCTGTCGGTATGTGTCTGCGTGAGCATCAGCGTGTGTGTGTGTGTGTGTGTGTGAGTCTGCGATTGTGTGTGTTTTTGTGTGTCTCTGAGTGTGTCTGTGTGCGTGTATCTGTGTATATTTGTGTCTGTGTGTGTTTGCGCATATGTGTCTGTGTGTGTCCGCGTGTATGAGTCTGCGTGTGTATGACGGTTTGTGTGTGTGTATCTGCGTGTGTTGTGGGTCTGTGCGCGTATGTCTGCTTGTGTGCGTGTGTATGTCTGCATTCTTTTCTATGGGTGTGTCTGTGTGTGCGTGGGTATATCTGTATGTTTGTATGTGTGTGGAATGTGCGTGTCTGTTTGGATATGTAGATGTGTGTGTGGGTGAATGGGGGTGTATTTATGTGTGTATGCAGGTATGTGGGTGTGTTTAAGTGAGTGGATGGGTGTGCGTGTGCGTGCGCTAGTGTGTGCATGTATTTTACCACGCATGCATTTGAGCTCCCCCCCCCCCCCTTTTTTTTTAAAAATATTTATAATATGCATATTATGATATCAATATAACATGCTTATCGATAAAATACATCTGCAGTGTGAAAGACGGGTGTTTGGAAGGGCCGAATGTAAGACGGGCCTGCGTGCCCAATTTGTGACCTTTTGAAAATAAAGTTCGTTCGTTCGTTCGTTCGTTCTGTCTGTCTGTCTGTCTGTCTGTCTGTCTGTCTGTCTGTCTGTCTGTCTGTCTGTCTGTCTGTCTGTCTGTCTGTCTGTCTGTCTGTCTGTCTGTCTGTCTGTCTGTCTGTCTGTCCGAATGACTGCTTGTGGTTATGTATATTCCTCTAGGCGTTTCTGTCTTTAATTCTATATGCTATGTATTGTTCTTAACTTTACGTATGCATTCACCTACAACTCTCACCAGATATGCATACGAACCGCCCATACCCCTTCGTCCTTAAAAGAACAACAGATAGCTTTAATTTACTACCTGATAGGGACAGTCATAGTCCGCACCGGATAATACCACCAGACGGTACAGAGTCAATAAAGATGCATAGAAAGTTCTCCCCATCTAGTCACTACTGGAATGTCTGCAACAGACGTGGTTTAACAATAATCAAACACTATTAGCAGTGTAGGCATAAACTATTTTTAAAAATGGTGCAGTCTTCACAATGAAGTTTGACTGTGTACATAACATGATTTAACACCCCTGCAAATGAAAGAGATTATCCTAGATGCCAGTATCATCATCATTAATTTCCACTTTTGCCGTTAAGTGGCATGAGTGGGAAGGGGGTGGGGGGCCATTTTGCGATACATTATTTGATGGGCAGCAATGGATATTGACATTCCGTGTCGACGCAGGAGCTCTTTAATGTCATCAGTTGATGTTCTCCCAGGGCGGCCTCTTGATTTCACTTGAGATCTTGTCATATGTAGCGCCTGGGTTGGTAGTTGTTCTGGCGGCTGTAATCTTACTAGATTATAAAACCATTTGAGATTCTGTTACTCAAGAAATTTACTGTAGGATGCCAGTATAACACGGCAAATTACAGCTGCCCCCGTGTCTTCTTCTGAAGAGTTATTGTTAGAGCACTCTAACGGTCATACTAGGTGATTCTTTGTGTGTTGTACTGTCATAGAGTGGGCACAGAATACTCACCAGGTGATTCATTGTATATTGTACTGTCATAGACTGGGCACATAATACTCACCAGGTGATACATTGTGTGTTGTGCTGTCATAGAGTGGGCACAGAATACTCACCAGGTGATTCATTGGGTATTGTACTGTCATAGACTGGGCACATAATACTCACCAGGTGATTCATTGTGTGTTGTACTGTCATAGAGTGGGCACAGAATACTCACCAGGTGATTCATTGGGTATTGTACTGTCATAGAGTGGGCACAGAATACTCACCAGGTGATTCATTGTGTGTTGTACTGTCATAGAGTGGGCACAGAATGCTCACTAGGTGATTCATTGGGTGTTGTACTGTCATAGAGTGGGCACAGAATACTCACATACCAGGTGATACATGGTGTGCTGTACTGTCATGGAGCTGAGTTGAGTCAAGAATTGACATCACAGCACTCGGGGCATTCCCATGCGTGCTCCGTCCTCATCTTTATCAGCCAGCGCAGAGTTCCAATACTAATGGTACCGGTGGTAATCTGGTTATTAGTTCTTCTTGCCATTCACCTGAGTGTAGTGAGCCGTTCAGACCCTCTGGTTACAACCATAGAGTGTCACAGAGTGGGTACATATTACACACACACACACATACATACACATACACACACACTCACATGACAGACATCTAAGTGACTCCAAGTATTTGTTGGGAGTTCCCGGTAAAGTCCAATACAATGGGTGGGGGATTGAGGTAAGTTAGGGTTTTAGCTTTCAAAAAGACGGTGTTTATTTCACACCTTAACACTCCTAAACCTTGGACTTTCCCGGGAATTCCCTACAAAATTGTGGAGTCTCCGAGATAGGGTGAACAAAAAAAAAAGGACCACAGAGTGTGTATGAGAGATACTCCTACCAACCTAGTGCCATTAGTCTGATAAAATATGGGTGCTCTTCCCATTTGCCCGATACGCAAAAGGCAGGAAAAGGGATCTTTACTTACTTATAAGACAACAGCATCATCTAGAGCAATGGTCTCCCTGGAAAGGGGGCAGGGATGATAAGGAGGTTCCAGGGAGGTCTCAGTCAATATTTTAAATGACTTTATCTGTACATGTAATAATCCATGACGCCAACTTTTTTCCCAGCTTAATTATAATTAAAATATGTTTCAATATATTTATAAAACAAAAAGCCAATGACACATATTTTCCTGTGAGGTAACTAAGCAATGGATACAATCCCACTGTGGAGTTCTTGGAAATGAAAGAGCTGATAAACTAGCTAAGGAAGATGCAAATGAAGAACAACATGACGTACCAGTCTCTTATCAACAAAAGAATAGAATAATCAAATCGATCAGAAAGCCACCAAAACTGGCACAAGACGGTTACTATTTTATGGACAGACCAGAGCAAGTTATTATTCTATGCCTTAGAACAGGACACAGTCGACTTCCCAGCCACATGTACACAAAATTTAAAACCGGCGAAGCAGCCATGTGTACATGTGGACTGGCACCTGAGACAACAGATCATGTCCTCCAAGACTGTCCCAAATACAACATATCAAGGCAAAACTTTTGGCCAAGAGTAAACACCGGTGCAAGTCAAACTTTAAGGGTCGCTGATTGAATTAAAAAAGACAGTAAAGTTTATACTAGAAATAACATTGCAGATATAGATAATATATTTCAAGCGAAAGAAAGAAAAAGAAGAAATATTTTCGTTGAATATTTCTGCCACATATGACATTTCGTTTTGTTTCATGCTGACATTAAAAGGTTGCTCTTGTACACTTGTAACTTGAGCTAACAAATTTCATCTTAATTGCTGTATACGTCAGCAGTTCATGTGTACGAATAGTCGGCAGCTTGAACTGTCGCTAAATCATACTCACGGTAAAATCGTGATCGATTACTTTAAGGGTAACGGTTACTGTTCGTTCACATGTTTTCACTCACTGGTCACCGAATGACGACAGTTCATCTCTCTCCTTTGGCTTGTCCCTAATGGTTAACGCTCGCTCACCGGTAACTCACTGACCGCTCACCGCTACCATCTACTGGCTGGTTTCCTAACAGTTAACACTAGTTCATATGTTTTGTCTCTCACCAGTCACTGAATGACAGTTCATGTCTCTCCTTTGGCTGGTCCCTGACGGTAAACACTCGTTTACCGGTAACTCACTGACCGTTCACCGCTTCCATCTACTGACTGGTTCCCTAACAGTTCATTCGTTTTCGCTCACCGGTCACTGGATGACAGTTCATGTCTCTCCTTTGGCTGGTCCCTGACGGTAAACACTCGCTCACCGGTAACTCACTGACCGTTCACCGCTTCCATCTACTGACTGGTTCCCTAACGGTTCATTCGTTTTCGCTCACCGGTCACTGGATGACAGTTCATCGCTCGCTCCCAACTACTGGCTGGTCCCTAACTGTTGACCTACGCTCACCGGACACTCACTGGCCGTTCCAGTACTAATGGTACCGGTCGTAATCTGGGTATAAGTCCGTCTTGCCTTTCCCCTGAGTGTAGTGAGCCAGCAGACCTGCTTGTTACACCCAGAGAGTCTCAAAGAGTGGGTACAGATTACACACACACACACACACACACACACACACACACACACACGCACACATACAGACACACACACACACTCACGTGACAGACAGACATCTCGGTGATTCCAAGATTTCGTTGGGATTTCCTGGGAATGTCCAATATTATGGTGGGGGAGGGGGGGGGGGGGAATAGGTGCTAGTGTTAGTCGGTGTTCCTTTCACACCTTAACACTCCTATAACATTGGACTTTCTCGGGAATTTCCCACGAAATCTCGGAGTCTCCGAGACAGGGTGAACAAAAAGAAAAGGACCACAGAGTGTGTATGAGGGATATTCCTGCTTATGTAACATTAGGGCATAATGTCTCCGGGTGTCTGCGTTAGCTAAACTAGTTATGTCACCACTCAGATCCCATTGTCACTTCGTCCATGTTAGCCTTGTCCATGTACCCTTCCAGTTGAACTTAATATGTCGCGATAGTTGTTTTCCATCTGTAGGTAATATGCTCTCTTAAGAAAGATTCACTAACAATACGGCCTCACTCACAACTATCTGTGCCAAAAACAGTCACGCAGTAGTAGCAGTACATTTTACCCCACCAGGACATCACGCAAGCGATAAACACCCGATGACACAAAGTGCCACCATGCGGATAAGGATCACCCGTGGAAAGGTCCCGGAAACTGCGTTCAGTCGTTAGGCCATATTATGGCCTCGCTATATTGCGGCCCCTGGCAAGAGCCAGACTGGGGCTGCAAAACAACGAAAAATTGCACCTCACAAGGGGATGACGATTTATAAATAAAACAGTCAGGCAATCTGTTAATATTACTCTTGGAATCCCCATCTGTGGTCACAATTATTACAGGCAGGTATAAGATAACAGTATCATCTAGAGCAAGGGTCTCATTGGAAAGGGAGCGGGGTGGTGAGGTGGTTCTAGGGAGGAGTGAGGAGGCGGTGGTGAGGAGGTTCCAGGGAGGAGTCAATCAATATTTTTAATGAGTTCATCTCTGTACATGTAAATAATCTACTACGCCAACCTTTTTCCGAGCTTAATTAAAATTAAAATATATATCAATATATTTAAAAACAAAAAGCCAGAAACAAATATTGTCCTTGTATATTTCTGCCTCATATGACATTTCGTTTTGTTCTATGCTGACACTAAAAGGTTGCTCTTGTACACTTGTAAATTGAACTAACAAATGTTCATTTTAATTGCTGTACACGTCAGCAGTTTATGTGTAAGAATAGTCTGCAGATAGAATCATACTCACGGTAAAATCGGGATCCATTCATTACGATGACGGTAACGGTTACGCTCGTTTATACGTTTTCTCTCACCCATCACTGAATGACAGTTCATCTCTCTCCTTTGGCTTGTCCCTAACAGTTAACCCTCGCTCAGCGGTCACTCGTTGGCCGTTCACCGCTCTTATCTACTGACTGGTCCCTAACTGTTGACGCACGCTCACCGGTCACTCACTGACGGTTCCAGTGCTAATGGTACCGGTTGTAATCTGGTTATATTTCCGTCTTGCCGTTCCCCTGAGTGTAGTGAGCCGGTCAGACCTCCTTGTTACACCCAGAGAGTCTCATATAGTGTGTACAGATTACACACACACTCAAGTGACAGACAGACATCTCGGTTACTCCAAGATTACGTTTGGAGCTCTAGGGGAAGTCCAATGTTATGGGGGGGGGGGTGCGGGGTTAGTGTTAGTCGGTGTTCATTTCTAGCCTCGACACTCCTATAACTTTGGACATTTCCGGGAATTCCCCACGAGATCTTGGAGTCTCCGAGATAGGGTGAACAAAAATAAAAGGACCACATAGTGTGTATGAGAGATACTCCTGGTTATGT